GATAGCATCCAAGAGCTTTTCTCAGAGAGAGGTACTGAAGACATCGTAGCCTTCTTAGAAAGTGTAGAAACTTACAGTGGTTACTGTACCAGTCACAAGATCTTATTTCCACTTCCCCTTCAAGTCTTTCGTTTCTGGTGCCTGGCGCCATAACTAGCACAGTATCTATTCAGACCATCATTTCTACACCCATTTCCGAGCAAGCATTTTCAGTCCTATGACCCACTGGCTGCTACCCCTACCTCCTGAGGTAGAATTGATTGAGCCTATGAAACCCATTTCCTAGAAAAGATGTTATTCTACTCTCTACATTTTTTTTTGTCTGCCAGAGTCTTAGCCTTAGTAGATCTCTAAACAGAAGTTCCTATGAATGTGTCAGAATATTTTCTTCCTAGGAGTCTAGTGAAAACTGATTTCTCTGCTTATATCCTCAAAGCATTACCATCTTCCCTCAGTTTTTGGATGTTCCAGGCTTTGAGTAGAACTTTATTCTCCATTTTATTCTTCAATCATTGAGTACGTCTTAGGCAGAGGTCATTTTTCTCTTCTATTCTGTAAATTCTTGAGATTCTAAAACATCTAATGCTTAAATGGATCATTTCTTTGTTTGTTACAAGTAAAGCTATCATAAGCTTTATCATCATCATCAATAAACAGATATTTTAGTGGTTTTCAGTTTTCAGTTACTATGAATAATGCTGCTATGAACATTTCATATAGGTTTTTGTGAAGACATATATTTTCATTTCTTTGGGGAAGATTCCTGCTAGTGGAATGTGTATCATATCGTAGGAGTATGCTTAACTTCATACAAAATTGCCAAACTGTTTTTAAAGCAGCTTTACCATTTTGCACTCCCACTAGTAATGAATAAAAGTTCCAGTTGCTCCATATCCATCTCCATACTTCAATTTTAGCCATACCAGTGGGTGAGTAGTATTATCGTAGTTTTAATTTTCATTATCTGATAAATATGATGCTGAACATCTTTTCATTTGTGCTTATTATATATTTTTCATATATCCAAACCAGTGGCAGGCCCAGAACCTGAAGATTAATAGTTACATAAGTGGATCACACAGGCTGGAGTTGTGGTATCAGAGTAAATCATAGACCCTGATAGGGTAGAAGTCTGAAACTTTAGTGACTGACAGTAACCATTTCTCTTACTCAGAATGCTTAGAGACCAAAGTTAGGGCTGGCAAGTTATTTCTCACTGGAGTGATGAAGTATCTGCATAACTCTCAGATTTTAGCAAAGATGGTGATCAGTAGAGATGCAAATAAACTCGAAGAATTTAGTAGAAAATGAAAGGAGGAGGCCTGAGTCCCAGAACTCAGAGATCTAGCTCTCGTCTTTGGTGATCCTTTCATTCGAAAACAGTTTTTGGCCAGAGCTTCTCAAATGTGGCTAGAACTTGGAGAAGGAAGGAGGTTACACCAGTGCCTCTTGTGTCAGGGGTGTTGGGAGAACACTGGCCCTGGAGGGCAAGCAGGAGGCTTGGAGATGGGGGTATGGTGAGGAGGAAGCAGAATGAGAAGGAAACTGGAATTGACAAATCTTCCATCATAAAGGTTTCCTCTACTTGCTGCCCACGGATCCTTCTTCTTTAACTTCTTCAGTCTTCCTTGGTGGATGGCAGAAAGTGGAAGATAAGAGGGGAGAATGAGTGTTTAGGGAATGGAAATTAGGTTTGGGAAGTTGGGTTAGGTGAGGTAAAGCAAATGGAAAAAGATAAGCAGTGTGTCAAAAGCAAAAAGAACAGTTTCTAGTCTACTTCTGATCCCCACTCAGAAGATAACCATGAGAAATCATTTTTCTTCAGACTATCTATGCAGCTAGACTATGGATCCTTGGAAATTCTGTGATTAAATAGCCTGTGGAGATTCTGTGGTTTTTCCATTGAACTTTATATATGCTTTTCCTTGTCATCAGATTTGAAACCTCAGACCTTGCCTTCACTCATATAAAACTGATTATTCTAGACATTTGAAAATCTGGACAGTTGGAATTCTGTAACAGTTTGCTTAAAATCCAGAATTCAATATAAAGTAGTTGTTCCTTTAAGGTGAGAAAGTGGGTTAAACAAGGAAGAGAAGGATAAAGAAGCACTTTGATTACTTTAAATCACTCCTTGAGTCCTCACATACCAATACGATTTATTCTCACAGCTCTGTTTGGGAAAAGTTAGACTGGATCCAAGCTTCAACTGGAAGGCATCAGTGGTTCCCATATTTCTCATGTTCATTCACTTTGGTTTCTTCGTATTAAAAGAGAAGTGCTTCCCAGAAATAGCCATTTTTCTCGACCATTGCTAGGAAATAAATTTGGACCCCGCAGCACTTAATATATACTATGGGATGGAGGCAAGTAGAAAATCCCCACCCTGATTTCCATTAGAGGGGAAACTCTGACCCAAAATAATTTCATTAAGTCTAGCCTATTTCCCACATTAATAAAGTAAACGGCTATTAAAAACTAATGTCAACTTCTTTTAGGACTCTGGAAGGCCCTGCCAGACAAAGCAAGAAAACATTTTTATTTCACAGTGATGGGGACAAAGGATAGGGTAAGCTCTTGGCTTAAGTGAGGCAACTGAGTCCTCTCTTAACAGGAGTTCAGACTGTAATGACTCCCAAGTATAGTTTGTTCTTGGTGGATATGCTTATTTTAGTGGACCAATCAGTAAGCAAACCAATGGTTTTCAGCTCCTTTTGGTGGATATAATGGGAAAGAAACTGGAATTGACAAAGTGGAGCCACTGTGGCCCCAAGCTGAAGTTGGAGGAATAAGCCATCCTGGAGTGTTAGAGCCCAAACATGGTGAAAAGGACCTCCATGAACTGGGAGAGCCCAGTGCAAGGAGTCAGAACTCAGTGACTGATGCTAGGCTTGGGCAACCTGGAATTGACGAGTCAGAGCCTGGGCAGAGTAGGGAGGTTATCACATCAGGGACAGGGCCCAACCTAAATGGGAGATTCATACTGTGAGACTGAGCAAATAAGTGAACATCCTAAAGATGGTAGGAGTCAGGTTACCATCTTCAGAGGGCCAAGAATAGAAAGATATAAATCTAGAATGAACCCTGAAGTGTTATACTGGAATTAAAGGCATAGGTATGATTTTGTGTATTTCAACATCTATAGATAGATACAGAAACAAATATAGATACAAATGTATGTGTGGGTGTATGTGTACATATCATATATAATACATATGTACATATATAGGCATATATGCAAATATACACACATTTACATCTATATTTAAATATACGTATGATAAAACACAGAGGATAAACTGATGGTTGCCAGAAGGCGGGGAGTGGGGAGTTGAGCAAAACGAGTGGAGGAGAGTGGGAGATACAAGCTTCCATTTGTGAAATGAATAAATCATGGGGATAAAAGGCACAACATAAGGAGTATAGTCAATGATACTGTAATGATGTATGGGAACAGATTGCAGCCACACTTGTAGTGAGCAGGGCATAATGTACACACTTGTTGAATCACAATGTTGTATGCCTGAAACTAATGTAACATTGTGTGTCAACTATACTCGGATAATAAATGTGAATATTGCATACATGTATATTGGCATATCTACACCTATACACGCATACACATTTACATCTGTGTGTTTGTGTGTGTATCTTAGTTCTGTGCACTGAAGGGCATAGGAGCTGGGAAATCCCGATAGTAATGAGCATTTACTAATGCCTGGATCTTGGCTTCTAAAACTGTTGCCTACTTGAAGAAAGCAGGACTCTTTGGAGAAATGGCTGATGCCTGCACTGGGATAGGAAAACACTAGCTTAGCGTAGAGTATCTTGTTCTGCCAGAAAGCAAGGACGTGCTGAAAGAATGTTGAGAATGTGGTAGAATGACATCACAAGCAGTTTTACAAGGGCTCCCGCTGGCCTGGAATGGGATATTGTAAAAAATAATGACAGTAACAAATCTTTACCCATTGAATAAAACAGGAAACCGTACGGATAAAAATGAACAGATGAATAAATTGAAAATTTTGACAAGGAACAGAAGATTTAGAATATTTCAAAGTACCTCCCCATAAACTACTTAGTTTTTTTAATGATTTTATTTATTTATTCATGAGAGACACAGGGAGAGACAGAGACACAGGCAGAGGGAGAAGCAGGCTCCCCGTGGGGAGCCAGATGCAGGACTCAATCCTGGGACCACAGCATCATGCCCTGAGCCAAAGGCAGACATTCAACCGCTGAACCAGCCAGGTGTACCCCCATAAACTACTTATTAACTAACTAATTAAAGAGTATTTTACAGTGGAGAAGCTTGACAGAGAAGCTTTGATCTCTCTTAGTCAAGAGATCAAAATGAACATTATCAGTAATGTATCAAATCAAGATTGTGAGCCACCTGACAGGATGCACAGCATCGTTCTTGGGCTATTTTTGCCAAAGATGGATAACTTGATTTTAATTATCAAGAAACATCAGACTGACCCAAATAAAGGGGGTATTTTACAAAATAACTCTTTGTCATATTCAAGAGCTAAGGCCATCCAAATCTAGACTGAGGAACTGCCCAGGCTGAAGGATAGCATGAAGATATGACCACTACAAAGGGAGATTCTGAATATAATCTTTTGCTAGAAAATACATTAGGAGGACACCTGGACAAACTTGAATACAGCTTGGGGATGAGATGGCAGCAATGTAGCTGTGTAAATTTTCTGATGTTGGTGGTTGTATTGTGGTTATGGAGAAAAGAGTGTTCTTGTCTATAGGAAATGCACACTACTCAGAGGTGAATAGGGCATGAGGCCAGAAACTCACTGAGGAAGAGTCTCTCTGCTAGACTTTCAACTTTTTTATAAGTCTGTGGTTGTTTCAATATTTAACAAAGAAAAAGAAAAAATGAACAACTGTCCTAAGCAGTGGAATACTTTCAAGAAGGTCAAGTTTGTAAGCACCAACTACAGCTAAGGTAACCGTTTTCTTCCCCCAAGAAAACACAGCAATTTTCAGTTGCTGAATATCAAACATTTATTCCTTAGGTTCCTACTACTGCTAAAGTCTATTTTATGAGTAGCTCCTCTTAAAACAAGTCTTTATTTCACAGAAATTGTATCTTTTAATACTTCACTTTGAAATGTCCAGTGCTGAGGATGAGGATGCTTCAAAGCACAGTTTGAACAACCAAGCCAGGTGGACCCCACATGAAGGCTCTACTCCCCATTCCAACCTCCCACCGCCCAGAAAGTTGCAAACAACTCAGGCAACATCTCTGCAGAGCCAACCAGGTTGTCCAAGTCAGCTGGAAAGAGAACACCATACTTGATTCAAATTACAAATGCAGTACTGTACTGTACACATCCAGCATTACACATGCTTACAACAATATAAGTATGCATAATGACATATCTGGTCTCACTTTAAAAGTAAACTATAAGCAGGCACCAACAAATTTTAAAACTACTCAATAACCTCATTTAACCTAAAGTTAAAAATGTTGCTGCACATACATTGGCTGCTTCAGAAGCGTTGGGCACGCAAACGGGAAGTGAGAAAATATTACAGCTAAGACTAATCACATATTACACACATTTAGGAATCTTTCCAGGCAAATTGTATTCAAAGAAAGACTATCCTGAAGGGCCATGGCCAGTTTCCAGGCTGAATGAGTTCTAGGAGAGGGAATCATGCTGATGTTCCTTGGCACATTTGTGCTTTGTCCCAGACTCTGGAAGTACAAATGCAGGCAGACTCACTGTGGTCCCCAGAATAACTTCAGCCTCTGGGAACAAGAGCAGCTGGCTGTCCTTGGCTCAGGGGAGCCTCTTAAACCTTGGAATTCCACCCACATCTGATAGCTGCTCCAGGCTGATGGGGCCATTTCAACCTGTCAAGCCCAGAGGTCAGCGTGGCTATAGTTTAGAAGTGACCTCCCGGAACTACAGCTTTCTGCTGAATGGATCATTGGCTCTACCTCCAAGACAATGCTTGACAGTGAAAGATGGTTTGGGGTTTTTTTGTTTGCAAGTTTAATATGATCTCCAGGAACAGCCTGGCTTGTTATTAATAGCACCATGAAAACATAGATAATGGTAAAAAACAGAATCATAAAATAAAGTCACTCCTGATTCTGGGCAATGTTTTCTACCACTAATGTGGTAGAAACAAGTCAACAAAATAAATCAGTTTAATGAATTTGGGAAAATAAGATGTCTTTCTGGAGCAAAAATATTCTTATAGGGAGAATATAGGCAAATGATATTCATTAGGCTGCAACTAAATATATAGTATTTGTGTTTTGTTGAGAAGTAGAGGGGGAAAATGTAGACCTAGCTCCCTACTCAGAATGTCTGTCAAGTAATCATGTAGGATTATTTTAAAAAGGAAAATTGAAGGCAGATGAAGGCATCTAAACTCTTGGAGTGGGAGACTGGGGCTCAGCAGTTTAAAAAGAGTACCGTGTACTAATATACTACAATAACACCGTTTTTCGTCGACGCCTCACAAATAAAATAGCTACTACTTTGAAATATCTCCCTCCAGTATCTGAATAAAAAGGAATGGTCATTCTACGGGAAGAAGAGGTAGTCTGTTAGTGAAATGCAGACAGATACTGACCCTTGGCTACCCATTTGCCTTGCAGATTCAGGACTCTTGGCATCTCTTAAAAAATATCTGTAGATGTGTTTGTTTTACTGTCTGGTGCATTTCTAGAAGCAGATGTGAAGATAGGAATTCCATCCCAGTGAGTTCTATTTGGTAAACAGACACAAGCTGGGCTTTCTATAACTAGTTGCAAGAAGATGTTTTGATAACCCAACAGTACCGAAGCAGCCTGCTAAAATCCCTTTTGACTGATATAGTCGCTGGTCCAGATTGAACAAAACACCAACAGAAGATATATGTACTCAAATCAAGTCTGACTCTGTGGTCCGGGATACGTGGGAATCTTGTACTTCAGGTGGGAGGGAACTGGCCAATGTAGTTCATGCCTGGGTGCCACAGAGTTCCAAATTATGAGTCACACCTGTAACAAAATGTAGCATAAAAATTGTAAAAGCACTCTATTCCACTACCCTTCAGCAAGTTTGTCCCTTTCATCTGCCTCTTGTACAAACACATACACACACTCACACACACCATCCAAACTCTTCCTTATGCTTCAAGACTTAGCGCCAGTTCCACACACACTCCATCCAAACTCTTTTTCATGCTTCAAGACTCAGCACCCGTTCTACACCCATAAAGTGTTTCCCAGCCCACTCTTGACTCTCGTAATAGACCTTACCTGAACTCTACACTTCAGAAGTAATTGAGTACTTTTCACTCTATCACGATTCCACCCTCTATGCAAACATATCAGCTTTCCCAAATGACATTAGACTGCAGACAAGGACTGTGTTGAGTTCCCTCTCCCTCTGCCCAACACAGATTACTCAGCATGGTACTATGGTGCATAATTATCCTACAATAAATATTTGATAGAGGTGCTGAGGCATGTTCTGCTTAGAATTGTGTATGCATAGTGGTTTCAGAATACAGAGGAGAGACCCTACTACACTCAAGAAGCTTACACTCTGGCTATTTTCAGTTATTGTACTTGGTGGGTGGGGTGTGAAACCGCCGACCTCTCATCCCAACCACAGCCGGGATAGACATTTCTGCACATGGTGTCCATTCTAGCACAATAGCCCCACCATGCATTTTTCTGCTTTCTGCCTTGGGGCTTTCTCTAAAGACTTGTGAAACACTGTTTCAAGCATAGAGCATTGCTCCAGGATGCACCAGAGGAAGCTCATGAGCCCCAAAGGCAACCCAAGCTAGTGGGGATGGGAGCCAGTAAATAGATACCCCACTTATCCTTCAGAACAACTCTGGGAGACCTCTGAACACTTCTCAGAGGTTCTGTGGTCTCAAGCTGAGATTTCAGTAGTGCAACTTTCATTTGCTTTTCTTCCTTGCCTGTCTCACTCTCCCTGTTCCTTCACCCCTTTTTCCTGGAGTCACCTAACAAATTACTTATACTCAAGTCTCTGCCTCATGGTCTGTTCTCAGGGATCCAAACTAAAATAGACACATTATTACAGGCACAGATATTATAAGAAAAGTGGTGGTTGTTGTTCTTTCAAAAGCAAAACAATGAAACATAACCTCTTTGCTAGTGACAAAGCTATGGTAGGAAATCTTTTTTTTTTTTAAAGATTATTTATTTATTCATGAGAGACACAGAGAGAGGCAGACACACAGGCGGAGGGAGAAGCAGGTTCCATGCAGGGAGCCTGATGTGGGAGTCGATCCGGGGACTCTGGGATCACAACCTGAGCCAAAGGCAGATGCTCAACTGCTGAGCCACCCGGATGTCCCTATGGTACATCTTTAGGGGACCAAAGGAATCACTGAATATCCTGGGCATCAATTTCTCTCACCCAAAGAAATGAGGAGTTAGACTGAAGGGGCATTTAGCTCCCTTCCATGCTTCAAATTCCAAGATTACAGAGGCTGTTTATATCCCTTTATACAAGTCATCTCACCACTGAATGGTGGCAGAAATTCAGGGGCTTCTATCTCATTGCATCCTTCATCTCATTCCAACCACAAGGAATGCTTCAAACTTTCTAGATGCTCCTCAGCTTAATGACCCTTAAATTGACAATGTTCATTCTGAATGGAAAAAGTCAAAGTCACACCGAACTAGTCTTGTGCAATTATCCAGACTCTCTGAACTTGCACCTTCTTTCCATCAGATTAACACCAGCTTCCCTAACTCTAACTCCTTCCCCTGGGGAGCACCAGCCCAGATCTCTCTTCCAATTCTCTGTCCAAAACCCTCCTACATTTGTTTGTGTATTTCCCATGCCTCACTCAGTAATTTGCACTTCATTGACACCCAATAAATGTTCATCACATGACTTAAAGAACTTTTTACTAAGGAAGACTTAAAATCATCCCATTTTTGAAATATCACTTAGTAAACTGCTTTGATACACCAGTAGCTTATGAATCTTTTGCTTGTTTATTTTTAATGAGTTTTATAGACTTATTGTTTTCAATGTACTGCAGAGAGCACAAACTTAAAGTGAAAAGTCAAATTTTCACAGAAAATCTAAAATTGGACCTTTGAGACATTTGCCCTTCCACTAAAATTTGAAAAAAAAAAATCCCAGGCTTAATGTGAAGAACACTCTGCTCTGCCCAAAGCCCCAGATGGAGTGGTACCTGTGAGTCCAGGTTTTTTGGCTGTGTTCACTGCTGCCATGAACATGTATTCACTGTTAGGGTCATGCACACTGGATCGATATTTCTGGAAGAAAAGTTAAAAACATGGTTTGTCATCTGCTCTTCCTCATCTCCATCCTGGTTTTTGTTTGTTTTGTTTTTGTTTTTCATTTTTTTTTTTTGTTTTCGTTTTTCACTCCTCATTGAAGTGATAAGTGACAAAAGTGTTAGGATATGGCTCAGGCTCCTGACCTGCAACTAAGTAGGAAAACAATATGAAAAGGATTTTAAATAAAGAGGCTTCTGCTGAATTTCCCGCCTCATTTTTGTTTTTATTGTTCCTTTCTCTGTAGATTTAGGTCATGGGCCCTATCTCACTGTCTTCCCTCTTTTTCTCTCCAAATTCCATGATCTGGCCAATGATCACACTGTGGATATACTTGTACAATATGCAGAATGGTGTAACTTCTTTTCATTGAGAATCTGTATTGTGAAAGACTGAGAAGAATATCCCCCAGCAGAGAGATTGTTTTGCATTGTTATCTCCCTAGATTTTCTGTGGTGTTCTTTAAAAACAGAGTCCTAGCAACTTATCATAGGAAGAAGCTGACCATTTCCTTCTCAGCTCCTATTGGCATCTTATAAGACTTTCTCACTGATTATTTAATTGACAAGTTGAGGGAAACCTAAAACTGGTTGTTTCATCTTTGCCCTGACTCTGGAAACTTAAAATCAAATGTGCAGCCTGCATGTAATAATTCTTAGAAATTAGAAGCATCTACTTTTTTATTTTTGTGTTTCAATCTTTGTCCTTTTTTATCCTTTCTTGGCCCTAGCTCCTCTATCTTTTCTGAGTAATAACAATAACAGCTCTCTCTGTAAGCCATCAAATCCTTTTTTAGGCTGAACCAGCTGTAAAATAAATAAGCTTCTCTGCCAAGTTAATAGTTTAATTAGTAGACATATCTTGTGGAAAAGAAAAACTGTCTGTGTTAATCAAATTACTCTGGCTAGAGCGATATGTGCTTTGATGAGTAAATAACTACTGATATTCGTCAATAAAGCAAATGCAAGAAAAAATAGACATCACTCACCTTTTTTGTAAGCCAACAAAGAAATATGCATCCAAAAATATAGACTACAACAAAAGCTGCACATCCTATGGGTAACCAGAACTTCAGTTGGCAGCAAGTCTGTGATTCTGGGTTGGAAAAGAGACATGTTAAGGGAAAACTGAGAAAATCCGATCTCCTCTTTCAGTGCTGAATCACAAGTTCTTTTACCAAATTCTAAAGTGATTTAATCAAAGGAAGCTTGGCTTCATCACAATCATGGAATCCAATAAATTATAAATAACATCATACCATAGCAAGAATTTAAAAGTTAAAACCTAAAAGACTCTATGGACACATATGTTTACAAATGAATTTAATAGAAAGGACTTTTCTGTCTTTTTTTTTTTTTTTGCAGAAAAGTAAATAGGAATGGTAATGGTATAAAACTATTATTTTCAATCATCTTACTTCATTCCACAAACCCCAGAACAAACCAAAACTTTAAACTTTATGTGAATAGAGGCAATGGCCATTAGGCCATGGATCTGGGTAATTTGTCTTTATTTTTTTCTGATTTCCAATGGCATATGTGTTTTAAAAATGAAATGATCTATTTCTGACATAGTAGTCTACATGATCAAATTGCATATTACTGATTAATATTAATTATTATTAATCCCCCGCATATTTTCATAGTAAATGATTGCCATCAATTTCACCAAAATAAACTCTACAAAAGGCACTTATTTACTTGTTTTCATTAGTGAGAAAAGTTGTTAAAATGCAAATGTCCTCTTAAGCCTGAAAAATGAAAATAATGTCTTACCATAAACATTCAAATATTCTCTGCTAATATTTTTTCTCTGAAAAGGAGGAGGATCAAAAATTGACAGTTGGCAGGCATAGTAGCTGGCATGAGAACTGTCCAAGTTATACAGAAAAAAGGAGACACCATCACTGGATGACTGAGATTGACAGAATTTCGGATTCTTGGACACTGTGTTTCCATTTTCCTTTGTCGTAGTGAGATCACAGAGTACTTCTGTCCCTTTCAGCAACTCCATTTTATATTGCGAGACAATCGCATTGAATTTGCATAAAATTTGTACACCTCCATCGTGAAATGTAAACATCTCAGACTTGGTAGAATCATTGATTTCTCCTGGATAAAAAGGAAGAAAACAAAGCAAAAGTGACCTTTTAAGAAGATGTTACTCTAATAACTATATTTGAACACAAAAGAAATCTCTTCAGTCACCACTATTACACCAAGATGAAAGAATTTTACAACCAAAAAAAGAACATGACAAAAATAAAACTGTGCCTCTGAAAAAAACCTAACCAGGGAATACCTGGGTGGCTCAGATGGTTAAGCATCTGTGTTTGGCTCAGGTCATGATTTCAGGGTCCTGGGATCCAACGCCGTGTCAGGCTCCCTGCTCAGTGAGGAATCTGCTTCTCCCTCTCCCCCTGCCCTTCCCCTTGCTCATGAGCTCTCTCTCTTTTTCTCTATCTCTACCTCAAATAAATAAATATTTTTTAAAAAGAAAGAAGAAAAAACCTAAACCGAAATTGGCTTGTTGTATATGAATATAGAATATATAATATATTAAATAGTATATTTACATAGTATAATCAGACAGATATGGTACCTGCCCTTTCATATTGGGGACAGATGGTAAATACATAATAAACCACCCTAATTAATGCTAGGAATGGAATGCTATTCAAATAAAGGTGGTGGGGTTGGGTTTTAATTTTGTTTTATAGAATCAAATAATGTACTTTTGTTTTTTAAAATTGAAATTGAAGGAAGATTAGCACTTAGTCAAAAAAAGGAAGATTTGGGATGAGATTTGGGAATGATGATGTTTTTTAGTGCATTAAAAAGTGCAAATAGCTTACACTAAAAATGAACAACTATATATAAATACATATTCATATTATACCCTCCTGACAGCAAAACAACAAATGAATCATCTTCAAATGATAGAAATGTTTTCTCTGAACTTGATCTACTGAGAATTCAATCAAGATCTGATGATGGCACTAACACCCCAGATTTTTGTCTAATTTTTCTTCTTTTTTTTTTTCAATAAAATTTAAGCTTATAGGAAGCCAAAGGTGTTTTAGAAGCTACATAGAGATCACATGAAAAAAGAACGGAAAAAGGTTTTAGCCTACTTGCATATTCTGAGTTCCTGGGTTATAAGTTCAAACTGTTCTCTGCTTTCCTTTTTTCTTTTTCTTTAATATAAAAGTTTCTCACTGAAATTGTTTGGGAAAACTATTAGCATGACAGTTTTTTTGCTTCAGTTTTGGAATCTGTCTTTATTCCTGAAAAGAGTATATAACAGGTATAACAAATGTGAGGGAAAAAAAGTTGCCCACCCATACAGCAAAATAGAAATACCATTTACATATATTTGCTCTTTACCTTCCAGATATATGCTTTATAGAGAAAACATATTATTTTGTGTTCTGCTACTGTCATTTAATGGTAAATCATAAATGTTCCATTTTTTACATAGTTGTCACAAGTATCCTCTTTAATGACTATTAGGACATAATATATAATTTGTTAAGGCATTTCACTAATGTTGAATACTATGGTTGTTTTTAGCATTTTGTTTTTTATGACATGTGGCCAAAATGTTTAAACATGATTACAACACTATGGATTGTTATATTGCTTTCTGAAAGAACACCAATTTGTGAGAGGACTAGCATTATACAGGTGGATTCATTTGCCACAACTCTACTTGTACTAGTTGCCATAATTTTAAGACTTAGCATAGTTATTTTTCTTAATGTCTGTAGGCTTTAATTTATAACTCTTATATTACAAGGGAAATATATTTTCAACTTGGGGATTTGGTTGTGAAAATACATACAAGTATTCTAATTTTTCAGTTATGGAAGCCCAGATCCAAATAAATTCCCACACCAAAACAACCAAAAATGCTGAACAAAAGGTCCAAAAATATTATTAAAAGGCTTAATAAGATTTCAAAAAAAAACCCCACAAATAAAAGGCTTAATAAGATTTCACAAAGAGGAGAAATTGGTAGGTTAAATTTGAAGAACCAGAACCCAGAGCAATGAGAGCAGAGTTTAGAAGTGGCTTTTACTTTGAGAGCATTTGCTGTTCTGCTAGGTTCAAACTTTTGTCTTCGTGTCTCAACTCCCAGAGTCTGTGAAGTGAGAAATCTAGTAGAAGAGCCTCTCGAAGACCTCTCCTCAATAAGTTGGGATCTCAAAGGGTTTCCTTCTTGGACTACATTAAGGCAGAAGAAAACCAGCCCTCATGCAGATTATAGCTCACCTTCAAATCACTTCAATGGTCCAGAAAACCTAAATCTTTGAATTTTGTTTACAGTGATTTTGGATTATTATTTTAACCCTTATGCTTTTGATAGTAAAAATAAAACTACTCCAGGAAGAAAAGATTTACATCTTGGCCTCAAATCCTATCTGCAAATAGTATTTAAAAACAATGACATGTAAGGAAATAAAACAACAGAAACAATTGATGACAGAAACCCTCCAAAAAACCATATATTTGAATTATCAGATCCCCAATATAAACAATTGAACTTACTGCATTTAAAGCAATAAAAGATAAACGTGTAAAATAAATAAATAAATAAATAAATAAATAAATAAAAGATAAACTTGTAATAATATCTAAAAGCACAAGAAACTAAAAAATAAGCCAACTAATTTGAAAAAGAATCAACTAGAACTGGCAAAAAAAAATAACTATGATTAAAAGTCAATGGATAAAATAAAAGTCAATGGATAGGTTCAAAGCATATTAGAGCTAAAGAGAGAATTGGTGAACTAGAAAATTAGGTTAGAAAAATTATTTGAAATGCAATCCACATTCATATTTAGAATCCCAACAAATCGAAAGCAAATTTTTTAAAGTATGCACATTTAGACATATAATGAAACGCCTAAGAGCTGCCAGAGAAAAGAGACTGATGACCTTCAAAAAAGGAACTATTAGATTGACGGGTGATATCTCAACATTAACAATAAAAAGTAAAGTGAAAAATGGTAAAGATATATGTAATAAGAAACTTCGATAAATGATGCATGCATGTTATTTCGTGCATAACAACTAAAAGAATAGAAACAACATATTACCTAAGTGGACTTCACAAAATGCAGTCTAGTGGTTTGGGATAAAGGGAAGGAAGTGTTGGAATCAGGAAGGAAAACACTGGGGTGGGAAGGCTTCTGGGTGCCTTATTTCTTGATCTGTGGTGATTATGAGAGTAAGGTAGAATGCCTTATAATTATTCATTAAATTGTATGTTTATGTTCACCTTTCTGTATAGATGTTTTGTTCTAGGATAAAAAAATTTTTTAGGCATATAGAAGGAAAATAGTACTTGTTTCACTTTAAAAATAGAGAAAACAAAAGGCAAAAAGGACAGAACTGAGCATGAGCATAGGTGTAGTCCACATTAGATTAAAAGGAAAGTTGTTTTTTGTTTTGTTTTGTTTTTGTTTTTTGCTTGGGGACTTATTTATCTGAAATTAAATTATGTTGCATGACTATTATTCTGATGTTTAGGTCTATATAGTTTACTGCTGATGATAAAATCAATGAGCTTTTTCTCAGTTTCTTTAGAAATGTTCAGAGCACAGTTCCCAAGGACTTTAGAATGACAGCAAGTAAACCACAAAGAGATCTTGGAGCAAAAGTGACTGTGGCCCCCATATAAACATGTAGACAGAAATGCTTGTCTTGTGTTTCTGAAGATGTTTTGTCAGCAGCTTCGCTTCTCTGCCCTGTGCCCTCACTATGACCCACAGCCTCACATAAGATGAAATGTAGAAGCACTGCAGAGTAGTGGAAGTGCAATGCAGTGATTCCCAAGGAAACAAGAGGAAGGGGGTCCGTGGGTGGCTCAGCGGTTTGGCGCCTGCTTTTGGCCCAGGGTGCGATCCTGAAGTCCCTGGATCGAGTCCGGCGTCGGGTTCCTGGCATGGAGCCTGCTTCTCCCTCTGCCTGTGTCTCTGCTCTCTCTCTCTCTCTATGTCTATTGTGAATAAATAAATAAAATCTTTAAAAAATATATTTAAAAAAAAAAGAAGAAGAAGAAACCAGAGGAAAATTCTGGCCTTGCCATGAGCAAGTCTGTGACTCTGGTACCCCTCTGGACTACAGTCTCTTCATCTGTGAATTGAAGAAGTAAGACCAAAACATAAAGTTCCTTCCAACGCTTACTCTATAAGGATCCATAATCAAAACATATCCAGATGAGACTGCGAACAACCTAGAAAGCTTATTACTTTGTTGTTCCCATAATTCTCTCTGGTCCAGTATCTTATGGGGATAGTCCAAGGAATCAGGAGAAACAAAAATGAATGATACATTCACATTGCCTGTGAAAGTATTTAGGTAGGGCTAGGAAGATTACCTACATCTTTCTTGAGTGATAGTGCCAAAGGCATGTGCCATTGACAGCAGAAGAGTAACTGGGCATTCCAGAGTCTCCTTTCTGCTGGATACTATCTAACCTGTTCATTTTTTCATATTTAATCTAAAAACTTTAATCTAAAAACTAGGTGATCTTCTTACTATTAAATGTAGTGATAAGACACCTGGCTTCTGTATGTACCTATTGCTTAAGCTTTTCATCTGGAAAACAATTTGACAACTCTAAGCCTGCAATTTGAATGTTTTCATTAAAGGAACCAGGTACTATATTAAATTAGTTGCTTCATAATTACTTTGGCACCTGTAGAACAGATAGGCTCAAATATCTAATTATAAACACTCCTTAGCCTTTGATGACATTTAAAAAAAAATAGTATCAAAAGGAGATCGTCCCTATAGCCAGGGCTAAAGCATTAAGTGGATGGCAGATAATTTAAGGGAAACCTGAATATATTAGTTTCTTATAACTGCAGAAACAGCTAGAATCTTTTCTCCACCCTCCCTGGATGTTCTCATCTCCAAATCTAACATTCAATCAAGAGTGCTAGTATTCTAGCACCCATTTTTATAGCTAGTGTTTGTTTTGGTTAAGTATCAGGTCTGTTTGGTCAGTTCCGCTGACATACCACAAGTTAAAATTGTGAGTATTAGCCTCAGCAATCAACCCCTTCTTGTTCTTTCTTCTTTTCTCTCAGCTTCATTTTTTT